TATATATATCTTATATTCTTATATACTTATATCTTAATTCTCTTCTTTGCCCTGCCATCTGTCTGCTGTTTCATCTCTCAACCCTCTTCGCTTTATCCCCCCCCCCCACACACACACAAAATTTCAACATAGAGCAATATACAGAGCAAGCATTGTACCCTGTTCTGTCAACACTGACATTTCGTTTCCTAGCATTGCAGGAGAACCGGAGCCGTCCTGTCTGCTGTTACTAATTGAACACAGCAGTATACTGGGGTCCACACACAACACAAAAACCTGGTCCCAATTCACTTTACGCCCGCGTCTGGTACTAAAAGCATTCATTTAGTAACTAACCCCAATACCGTGGGATATTCTCCTTGTATCCGCTGTATGCCTTTGTATATATATTGTGCAGCAACACAGATTTGAATTGTTGTGAGCTATATTACACAGCCTTCGTTGTACATATAGTTAATCTCGTAATTCATAAACTTGGCCTTAATAGTCATTGAATGTCAGTCATTCAATTTAATTCTCATAGTTCCCGTGTAACACGGCATGGCACGGCAAATGCCAAGTGGGAAAACTAAATCGTTAGTCCCATGAAGCTTAATGCTTCGGATTGCTAATTTCTTTGAAATATTTCTGCCCCATATTGCAGCGGATGGCCTGGCAACAGTATGGTACCATCACACACTTACTCACTGCATTACATTTACACGAGACTGACACGACCACGCAACACTAGCAACATAGACAAACTCATCCACGCGAAATGTCAACCACCTCACGCACACGCATCTGCAGACAGGGGCCCCGTCGCCAAACACACCACGAATATTCATGACTATCACCGCGATCACATCACCAATGTCATGTTTTCTGACCTTATAACTATTTATAAACTATTATTGATTCTGACAATGCCCCCCCCCCGTCTGCCCGCAATTCCTATCTCACTTACTCACTGACTTACTCCATCACTTAGCTCACCGCTCCCTCCCTCCACGATGCCTCGCTCACCTCAATAATCTCCTGCAGATCTCACTATATACTGCACTCACTCACTTACTCACTGACTTACTCCATCACTTACTCACTGACTTACTCCATCACTTAGCTCACCGCTCCCTCCCTCCACGATGCCTCGCTCACCTCAATAATCTCCTGCAGGTCTCTAACATACAGTCGCTCAGTGTCGAGGATCTCTAGCATCACACGATCGATCGACGTCAACCCCTCCTGGCGGTGGCGGCGGCGACCGCGAGCGCCCCCTGCCGGCGACCCGACGCGTCCCCGCTCGGCCGCCGGACCCTCGAGGACGTCGTCCGTGTCCTCGGACTCGAATCCCTCGAACGATATCTGCGACGGCGGATAGGTGGCGCTGTGCGACCCGGGCGACCCCAGCGAGTCGGTCGACGTCGTCGAGATCAGACTGAGCGGACGCTTCGCCTTGCCGCCGCGCGTTTCCTCCGCCGCGTCGAACCAGGGGGCGCCGCCGCCGCCGATTCGCAACGCGGCGGGATCGTCCCACGGCGTACCGCCGTCTCGCCGGTGCAGCGCGTCGTCGTCGTCCCTCGCCGCGAGTTCCGGATGGTCGCGAGACGATGATGATGTCGTCTCTGCCATGGCGGTGCGCAGCTTGACGTTCGCGCGATCATTCGAGACGAGCGCGTCGAATAGATTGAGCAGACTCGGAGCTATCTCCACCGACCCGACTGCAGCAGAAGAACAAGCGAGCATCAGCAAACGATCGCGGTGTGCGCGCGTACGAGAGAAAGCATGCGTCATCGGTCCCCAACCAGGAGTAACAGGCTCCTCTAAGTCATCGAGGAATCGACGGCACTGGCTGAGATGTCATTATGCATGCACGCGGCTTGCGTGTAGGCACAGTGGCGACTGGCGACACAGATCCCCTGTATAACCCAATAATATCAGGAGTGAATTGCACGGCCCCACTTTGTAATCAAGTAAAAATAGCTGTTTTATTCCGCAAAGCCTCTGCAGTCCGATACGCTTGGAGAGTGCGAAAAGCATATGGTCGACGTTTGTGACAGCTAGGCATTAAATGTCGGCAATGTATTCCGCATAAATAAATAAATAAATATATATATGTATATATATATATGCGTGTGTGTGTAGTGCATACTGTAAATAACCTCAGAGATAAAAGCAGGACAACTGACCAATGCGGCACCAGTCTAATGCAATGAGTAGGCAAAAATACGACGCATGAGTCACCAACCCATCAGACTGGGCACTATATACAGAAATCCCCATTTGCGGCAGATTCTCAATGTTTGCTCTGGCTGTATTTGCCGTCACTTCAGCTACGCATTCCGAAGCTATTGCAACCAGGAAGAGAGGCAAGCAATGCCATCTCGGCTTGCACACAAAATAACAGCTAAAAGTGTTGTCATTTTCCTATAGGTCCCCACTGTAACATGCCTTTAGCTGGAGTATCAGTCAAACTCGCTTAAAAAACTCCAACGAGCTTTATTATGATGGAGGTTAGTTAGTACATCACGACATCATTGCGCCTTCAGTATAAATACTGTACCAATAATCAGGCCAAGTCTCCTTTCTGGGTCACTAACTGGGGCCAAAAACCGATGGTTTCAATGGACGGAATCAGGCGAAGAGACTGGAGAACAGTACATAATCAATTCATGAAACCGATGATCCCTAACGAGGGAGGAAGACCTCTATAATACCAGGCCATCAAAGGTTTCACAAGATGAAGTCTGACTAGTAAATAGGATGGGTCGGTCATGAGGCGCAAGGCAACAGTAGGAACAGTTGGACGCGGTGCACGTGTTTGCAATAAATTTCAGCGTCCGTGATTGCTTGTTTTTTTTTTAAATTGCCAGATGCCAGCTCTGCGGTACGACATACCAATCAACACTTTTTCCCCCCTTTAGACCAATTACAAGGAGTATGTGTCACTGGCTCATCTTTGATGAATGCTAATGATGACCTAAAAACCTTGAACTGACGAACTGAAGACACTGTGCCAACACGCCAATACTGCGGACGCCATTTGCAGGGAAAGGAGAAAGCAAAAACAACACCAGGCGATATCGATGCTATCTAAGATGAAATGAAAACAAAAGCACAGTAATAAATAACATGCAATTAATTTAAAATAGATTAATTTATACCCTGTTTTTATAGCAGCAATATTAGGTAATAATAGATAAGTGATTCACTATAAACCTCAAAAACATTCATATCAACATCACTTTCATAAACATGTGGGTGTCCGGTGTGTGTGTGTGTGTGTGTGTGTGTGTGTGTGTGTGTGTGTGTGTGTGTGTGTGTATATATATGTGTGTGTGTGTAAATGTCTGTGTGTGTCTGTGTGTGTGTGTGTGTGTGTGTGTGCGTGCGTGTCCGTGTGCGTGCGTGCCTGTGTGTGCTTGCCAGGGGAATCGAGAGACAGAGACAGAGACAGAGCGAGAGAGAGCGAGACAGAGAGAGAGAGAGAGAGAGAGAGAGAGAGAGCGCGCGCGAACGAGAGGGAGAGGGAGTAAGAGAGGGAGAGGGGGTAGATAGAATATGCAGAAAGTATATCCTTTCTGCATATTTGCATGTCTATTTGCATTGTATCAAGAGCTAATAAATACCTAGGTATACCTATAGGCTAAATACCTAGGCTATAGGTATTTATTAGCACTTGATTGTATGTATATCTGCAAGACATGAACCATGCTAATACAGGCTAGCATGACACATACATGTATGGCTTTTGGTCGCAGTCGCGATCCGTAGTTTGTCAAGGAAGGAGTAACTACACCCACAGGGGTGGACAGGGAGGTAGGGGCGTGGCTAAGTGACTGGACAGGGAGGGAGGGGCGTGGCTAGGTGACTGGATAGGGAGGGAGGGACGTGGCTAGCTGACTGGACAGGGAGGGAGGGGCGTGGGTAGGTGACTGGACAGGGAGGGGCGTGGCTAGGTGACTGGACAGGGAGGGAGGGGCGTGGCTAGCTGACTGGACAGGGAGGGAGGGGCGTGGCTAGGTGACTGGACAGGGAGGGAGGGGCGTGGCTAGGTGACTGGACAGGGAAGGAGGGGCGTGGCTAGGTGACTGGACAGGAAGGGACGTGGCTAGCTGACTGGACAGGGAGGAAGGGACGTGGCTATGTGACTTGACAGAGAGGGAGGGGCGTGGCTAGCTGACTGGACAGACAGCTAGGAAATCAGGGAAATCATGAATCAAAGAAGGAGAATCTAATCAGGGAAGCAGAATCATGACCAAATTAGTGTCAGTTAAGTCTGAGAGTGAGCAACTGAGGATCAGAAAGACAGCAGCTGTACATGTGGCCATAGCTCGGGTTAACCGGTGGCATCTAGGCTTTTGAAAGCTCAGCATCAATTCATCAGTTTAGATGAATGGACGATTTAGGCGCATCAAGAAAACACAGAGCTCAGTAAATCTCGTGTTGCATCACATATCTGGTAGCAATCTCACTACGCTAAGCGTCGAAGCTCAGAGAAACGTTCACGGTTGTTGAAAGTATCTTTCAAACGCAGGATGTACACTGACACACACACACACACGCGCGCGCACGCACGCACGCACGAACGCACGCACGGACGGACGCACGAACGCACCCACACACGCACGCACGCACGCAAGCACGCACGAACGCACACACGCACGAACGCACGCACGGACGCACGGACGCATGCACCCACACACGCACGCACGAACGCACGCACGCACGCACGCACGCACACACACATGAAACCTGTGCAATGTCTCATAAACATAAACATGCCCCTGAAAGTAAGCTCGTACGTTGTATGATGTAACACCCCAACATACACCCATATAATATATAATATATAATATATAATATATAATAATAATATATAATATATAGGATATATAATATTAATAGTATAGGATATATTAATATATAGTATATGATAGGTATGATAGATATAAATGATATAAGGTATATTAGGTTAATATATAATATATAATATATAATATAACACCGCTTGAACACAACGCGTGAGTGATGATATATTATTTGCTTACAAAGCTAAAAAAAAACAACCTCGTTCAATTAAGATAACGAGGAAAAAATGAATTAATCCATATTACCAACGCGTAATCTGTGTAGAAATATCGTAAATAGTGTACTATACAGCAAATAAAAGCTGCTGCATAAAATACGTGTCTAACTACAACTGTGGGTAGACATGAAGGCACTAAATTTTAACGAAGTTTTATTAGTATATAATTGCAAAACAATGACGTGTACATGATATATCCATTAATGGAATGAAATGCAACATTAAATGTGCACTTAGAATTTCACAGCAAGTGCAGCTCTGAGTAAAATCATGTACAGTAACGGCTGAGAGGGTCTATGTCCCCCAGGGTACTGCCGGAGCGTACCCTGGGTACGGTCCGGTATACCGGAACGTACCCTGGGCACGGTCCGGTATACCGGAACGTACCCTGGTACTATCTAATATGCCGGACCGTACCTCGCCTACTTCACTAACGAGTCTAGGGAGTCGCCTACGCCTACTCCCTAACCCTAACCCTAACTCTAACCCTAATCCTAACCCTAATCCTAACCCTAACCATATCAAATAGTGACCATGGTACGTTCCGGTATACCGGACCGTACCAAGGGTACGTTCCGGCAGTACCCTGGGAGACATAGACCCTATGAGCACAGTAACGTGTATGAACAGTAACAGAACAAAATGAACAGAGCAAGATGAGGGAGAAGCGAACAAGGAGAAGAGGGGAAACATGCTGCTGCCTTATTTTGTGGGCTAATGACTGAGAGAAAAGTTAGAAATGGCACAATTGCTTTTGGCAGTGTCAGAAAGGAGCAATATGATGGGAATATGGGTGTGGAGAATGCTCATGTAGGTGGTGACTGGTGGTGACAACATCGGTGTGGAGAATGCTCATGTAGGTGGTGACTGGTGGTGACAACATCGGTGTGGAGAATGCTCATGTAGGTGGTGACTGGTGGTGCCGATGTTGTCACCACCAGTCACCACCTACATGAGCATTCTCCACACCGATGTTGTCACCACCTACATGAGCATTCTCCACTCCGATGTTGTTGAGAGACAACAAGGTATGAAAAGAATCTATAGGAAGAAAACAGTAAGATGAGAGAGGGGGAGTGTGGGTGAGGGAGGGACAGTAAGATGAGAGAGGGGGAGTGTGGGTGAGGGAGGGACAGTAAGATGAGAGAGGGGGAGTGTGGGTGAGGGAGGGACAGTAAGATGAGAGAGGGGTGTGACGAGATGTGGGTGAGGGAGGGACAGAAATGGGTGTGAAGAGGATATAAAGGCCTGATACCCTGCCAAGGACACTCAGCAGCAGCAGCAGCAGTAACAGCAACAGCAGCTGCAGCAGCAGCAGCAGTACCACCACCACCACTGCTTCCACCGCCACCACCACCACCACCACCATCAGCAGCAGTAGCAGCAGTAGCAGTAGAAGCAGCAGTAGCAGTAGAAGCAGTAGTAGCAGCAGAAGCAGTAGCAGCCGCAGCAGTAGCAGCAGAAGCAGTAGCAGCAGCAGCAGTAGTAGCAGCAGCAGCAGTACTCCAGTAGTAGCAGCTGCAGCCGTGCAGTGGCACCAAAATAGTAAAGTTACCCGTGTTTGTGGTAGCCGCAATTATCATTACCAACTTACCAAAAAACTCATCCCAGTCTTGAAAGGAGAAGCGAGTT